TGCTGAAAGCAGGTTTCTGGCCTTTGTTTACCTTCTGTATTTGAAACAATGTTGCGGTCCTGCTGGCTGAAGCCTGGCTGACTAAAGCAGGTTTCTGGGGTTTGGTTTAGCTTCTATATTTGTTACAATGTTTCTTAGAGTTGCCGCTCAGAGGCCGGCAAGGCAGGCGGGGAAGCTTGGCTTCCTCCGTCACTGAAGCAAGCTAGCCTCCCTGTTCGCGTCAGCCTCCTGGCTGCTGGCCGCCATCTTGGTTGGCAGTTAATTTGCATATCTCCCTGATTAGCCAATGGGAAGGGTAGCGGAGGTACGGCTAATTACCATGTTTCTCTTTTATTAGATAGCATATTCTAAATGTAGCTATTTAATTCAGCTCTAAACCTACCTAATATAGGACTGAGTTTTCCCCACATCATGGAGATGTCAAGGGATATTTCATCAAATGAACTCAATTGTATTCCCCCAAATTAATATGCCGAGCCCTATTCCCCAATGTGATGGTCTCTGGCTTTGGAAGATGCTCAGAATGATCAGGTTTAGATGAGATGATGACAATGGGGACCTCATGATGGGATTAGTGCCACTGTGAAAAGAAGCGCCACAGAGCTTGCTCACTCTCTTCCCACCAGGTGAGGACAGTGGGAAAGCAGTTGCTTACAAGGCAGGAAGAGTCCTCACCAGAAAACAACCATGCTGACCTTGAACTCTGTCCTCCAGAACTGTGAGACAATACATTACTGTTGTTTAAGCCACTCAATCTATGGTACTGTATGGCACCCCAAGATAAGACGGTATGCTTTCCTGAAACAAAAATACTATCTCTTGAAAAACTAAGTTAAAAAGTCTTCCCCCAAACTCATCTCCAAAAAGATTATAATTTTGTTCTTATGCTGCTTCCTCAAGATGATTTTTCTAACATGAAATACTACTGAAATTCAAACTCAGATGAGCAGGCCTCAGAGAGAAGAGCAGTGTAACATAGTATTTAAAAATACAACCTCTGGAATCAGATTTGAACTCTGGCTCCAATGATTTACTAGCTGTGTGACCTTGGAAAGGGTACTTAACTTTCTTTAATTCTTGGGTGTCCTAATCTCTAGAATGGGGATAATATCTTTCTCAGAAAGTTACACTGAAGATCAAAGAAAATGAGACAGGCATGTGAGGCATTTAAAATAGCTGCTGCCATATGGTTAGGGCTCAATAAATAAGAGCTATTACTTACATTAATACTATAAATCTGAAATGTCATATACCTTTTGTAATTAAAAAATCAGTATAATCAATTACCTTGAAATAGTAGCAATAATCCCGAACTAGTCACACAAAAATAAAATTTAAGACACCAATTCTATGAATGTAAATGAAAAAGCTCAATAGATTTAGTATAGCTTCATTCGTGACAAAAATTTTGAGTATAATAATGGTCTTTGGCATAAGTTTTCTATTGTACAAATCAGCTACATTTTATAGTATATGATCTACTTTATTCTTGAAAGACTTGACATAATTTCCCTGGACCAATGACCAATTAAAAGGTTGTCCTATTAGAACTTTCCTTTTGTATGAAAAAGCAATGTAATGTTCTAGTCACTATACCTGTTTAATTCATTTCTTATATCCAACAATTCTTGTCGCTCAGTTTTTACTGTATCTTTTTCCTCAGAAGCCAAGTAACGTAGTCTCATCTGTTCCAATTCTTCTTGCTGTTTTTTAAGACGAGCCATTTGACTTTCTTGCTCCCGCTGGAAAGAAACAAACAAGCCAGATCCCAAATATTAGGAATAAATATACTTCATATGACTTTAACTTGTGATTATAATCCTACTTGACAGTACCCATGATATAGCCACACACTGCCAATTCTATGACACACATCCAGAAATGACCAGTTTTCTTTTTCTTTAAAAAAAACCCACCTCTTTCCATTCCTTTTCTTTCTAAGCCATAATCTTTAAAGGCCCAATCAATGAAGTTAGCTGAATAGCATAAGATAAAAGAAGTTGAAGCCAAGAAAAGAGTCTGCTGACAACACAATAAATTGCTACAAGGATCAGTGGCAAGAGCAGCATCTAAGAAATGGTTAATTATACAAAGATGTACCAAGAAAAATTCAGTAACTGTCACTATTTCCATTGTCACTAATTCCACTCCTATCTTAGGTAACAATACGCCTTTTCACTCTTTTCTCCAGGCTCATACAAAAACCTATGCATTTGACATAATTTCTTTAAAATACATGTGTAACATTCCACAGAATGAATATTCCATGATTTTTTCAACCACGCTCTCAGTAACAGACTTTTGGTACAATAAGCAATGCTGCAATAAAACACCCTATCATCTAGTATCACTCACAAATATTTCTATATATATATTTTTTTTAGGGATGGGTGCTTTTCTTTCTTTAGGACACAACCCCAAAATGGGAGAGGTATGTGTCCAAGTAAACATTTATTTATTAAAACCAACCACTCAACTACCATCCAGATAAGAAACAAAAAATTATCAGAATCTCAGATGTCCCTGTTTCCATCCTTTCCAAAACATAACCACTACCCTACTTTCTAACACCGCACATTTTGACTGCTTCAAACTTATATAAATGGAATTGGACAGTATGTACTACTTTATGTCTGGCTTCTTTCACTTAACATTGTTTTTAAATTCATTACTATTACGTGTAGTTGATGATTCATATTACTATTTGGCATTCCACTGGATGAATATACAAATTATTCATTCGACTGCTGAGGAACATTTTGGTTAGTTTCTGGTTTTGTATTATAAAGCTGATAGGAACAATATTATACATGCCCTTTGGCACATATTTGTATGCAGTTCTATTGGGTATATAATCTAGGATTCAAACACAGGGTATGAAAATTTCAGTAGTAGTATATACTGTCAAACAGTTTTCAAAGTAGTAGTACAAATTAATCTTCCATGTGAGCATTTCAGTGTTCAATGTTCTTGCCAACACTTGGTACTATCAATTTTTTTTTTTCATTTAAGCCGTTCTTATAGATTATGTAGTAGTATCTCATTGTGATTTTATTTTGCATTTTTTCAAAGACAACTGAGGTCGAACATGTTTTAATATTTTTATTTTATTTTATATATTTTATTGATTTTTTTACAGAGGGAAGGGAGAAGGATAGAGAGTTAGAAACATCGATCAGCTGCCTCCTGCACACTCTCTACTGGGGATGTGCCCACAACCAAGGTACATGCCCTTGACCGGAATCGAACCTGGGACCCTTGAGTCTGCAGGCTGATGCTTTATCCACTGAGCCTAACCAGTTAGGGCATGTTTTAATATTTTTAATTGTCATTTGGGTATCTTCTTTTACAAAGTTCCT